AGAGAGAGGGAAGATGAGGGAGGAATTCTGGTACCATTTCTTTAAGTTATAGATGTTGTGATTACCACGTGTGATAGAGTGGAAGCAGCCTGATGGAATGACTTCTGCTAGATGGAATATAAAGGAGAAGAGAAGCCAGTGGAATAGATCTGCTCAGTGGCATCACTAGGGGGTGCGGGGGTTCAGACCGCACCAGATGACACACAAAGGGGATGTGACACCACTGCTCCTCAAACACCTACTTTTGGGCAGAAATGGGCTGTGGCATTAATCTGCTTCCCTTTTAAATGCTTTAAGAGATGATGAGAGTGGGGTGAAGCTCAGTGGGAAGAGAAAGGAGAGGCCCCATAATTTTTTAAATTTCAAATGTCGAACTTCAATTTTTTATTTTTTTATTTTTAAAAAAATGACATTTAAAATTTTTAAAATTATGTTTAAATTTTCTTTAATAATGTAACATTTTAACTAAATCTTCACTATGTTTATATAAATGCATTTAGGCTTTGCATATGCTATTGTATTTTGAAGGTATACTTTTAATTTTGCTAATTGTTTTATGTCACAACTGTTAGCGTGACATTCAGAGGTATATGGGAATTATGATTTATGAGTAACATTAGTGCAAAAATAACATTACTAAGGATTCTGTATGGTGTGAAATGAGAGGAGGCCAATGGTGGGGGTGAGGGTGACACCATGAGTTACTGCACCAGGTGACACCAACCCTAGGGGCACCGCTGTTTCTGGATCTGCTTCCCTTGTCTTCCACTGCCTGGCTGAATAGCTGCTGCTAGCATAATAACACACCCACTCTTGTTGGGACCTGGAGTGGGTATTCTAAATTTATGTATTTTTTGATACTGATATATACTGCACTTCCCATACCTCAAAATAGTTTCAAGAACAGCAATCTTTTCTACTCTTGTCCCTTTATTAGTAGCTTATATCTGAAGCAGGATTTTCATAACAAGAACTGCCTTAACCCTTAAGGGTTAACATCTGCAGACTAAGCAGCTGTAAAAACAGGGATGGGTGTGAAAACAGGGGTAGGGGATTTGTGATGCTCCATGCTATGACCCTCCAAGTTGTCCATCTTGTGCTGTTGGATTCACACTGCCATCAGCTTCTATCGTTGGTTGAAACTGGAGTTCAATGATGTTTAGATGAGCAAAGGTTTCTTATTTTTGTGTTAAATGCATTTGAGGGAGGAGGAGATGTGATTAATAACAATAATTGGCAATCTTGGTTCAAATAGATTGCCTCAAAGCAGTTGGTGCTAGACAGTGCTGAGAGGGATTGTGTTAATACATCCTTTATCCTGTTCTTCTTGGTCTGTACCAGTAAGGTTAAGCAATCAGGTGCAACAGTGAGCAAGCAAGTGACCTCTTAGCCAACCTTTGTTGGTTCCCTCTGCCAGCTTCCTGACCCTGTTGCAGATTATTTTGCTCAGGTCTCTTAAGCAACAGGCTTCCTAGCAGCAACTGCAGAGGAAACACTGAGTCTCTTTTCCAAAAAAAGAAAGAAATGGAAGAGTGTCTGTGAGTGTGTGTACAGTGGTGTGCACATATGTGTATGATTATCACGGTATTTTTTTTAAAAAAAATATTATTTATTCTATTATATAAATTTTAGGCAATTTAATTTGCCTGCCTTTGAATGTGAAGTATGCAACAGCTTTGCAGGGAAGGAGACACAGTCTCTTTGTTTCTAGACTGCATACACAGTTACATTTTGAAAGAGACCAGACAGAACTAAAAAAAAAAATGGGATGCATACTCCAAAAACTTTCCCTGATTCTGAGGATTTCCTTGCTTTCTTACATGACATAAGGGGAAAGTATGTATCCTTTGATAAGGACTTGGTTTACAAACCATTAATATATTTTAAGAAGATGCTGCCTTGTTAATAATCAGCCTTTATTCCATCTAGCATCCCAAACCCAGCACTTCGAAAGCAGGTTGACTACAGCTTCTATTCCCTGTGAAAGGCAGTGTGGCATAGTGGTTTGAGTGTTAGATTGTGGCTCTGGAGACCAGGGTTTGATTCACAGCTTGGCCATGAAACCCACTGGGTGACCTGAGGCAAATTACACACACTCAACCTCAGGGGAAGGCAATAGCAAACCACCTCTGAACAAATCTTGTCAAGAAAATTTCCCATTATAGGGTTGCCATATGTTAGAAACAACTTGAAGGTACACAGCAACAACAATCCATTACCTGTGCTGTCTTGTGGAGTGGCAATTATAGTTCAATACATTTGAAGGAAAAGGTTTTCACTTCCAACACAAGCCTATATATGTCTGCTTAAAAGAAAGCCACAGGGATTTCAATGGGACTTTGCCCCCAGAAAAGTATGTATGGGATTGCTGCTTTAATCAGTTAAATGCTGCAAGTCTTAAATAGGCCAACAGATGTCACAATGAAACTATCCAGAGTTTAAATATAGCCACTCACCTGGCAACTATAAGATTGCTTCCCTAAGGAAGCTTGTAAGTGATAAGTGCTGGTGGTTTCCCCTTTTTTCCCTTTCACTTCCTAACAAACCAACTTATACACATGTGAGAAACAGTGTAATAAAACTCTTTGAAGCCTAGTAGCTTTTATTTCAGCAGGTATTTGGGCGAGATCACAGAATTGACTGAACCATTTCATTGCTTAAAGCAAAGGACAAAATTGTACTTGCACTCCAGACCGTCCATGTAAAGCAGTAAGACTGGACTCTTCCTTTAACACTGATCAATGGAGTAGTATTCTCTATCATACCTGAGGCAGCAGCTGAGCTTAGGGGACTCAAGACAGATTGTGTAGCAAATATAGCTCTGCCATTCCACAGAGGACAACAGCTTGTATAAGCACTCACTTTACAAATACTAGACTCTTTTTAAAAGATGCTGTCTTATATATCACAGAATTGCTGTTCACCAGCACACTTTCCACCTGAGCTGATTGCTTCATTTTCTTTCGCAGTAAGACCAGCCGAGAAAAAGATGCATCAGCTGAATTTCCACACAACCAGAATTTCTTTCTTTTGTTACATCAAGTGGACAACCTGACTAAACTCACTGTGGCTTCCAGCTGTAAAAGAAATAACCCACCCATCCCACATTGTAATTTAACTACTGACAAGAAGAAAGGTTGTGGAAACTTAAGATTTTTCTGTGCTGAGGAATTGTGAACTTCATTCATTTCTAATATTTCAAACAAATCCAAGGATTCATAATTCTTTAATAATAAGATCTTCCACAGTGGAGCAGGGGACCTAGGGAACTTTTGTTGTTGGACTTCAGCTTCCATTAGCCCTGACCTTCAGCTGTGTTGAATGGGAATAATGGGAATTTGAGTACAACATCAGGTGGGGGATAAGTGTAATTTAATTACATAATGTTAGTGCTGATGGATCATACGGTTCTAGTAAAAAAGAAAGAAAAAATAGATCCTGAAAAGTTTGATGCTTGCCCAGCCAGATATTAGTAAATTAGGCTCACCAAATTCATTACAGGTTGGGCTTCTGTAGCTTTAATACACATAAATGAAATACAGGTTGGGCTTCTGTAGCTTTAATACACATAAATGAAATAAGAAGTTGCCATCTTGGCTAGGTTTGGGAGAAAGGCCAGGTATAAAGTTTTAAGTAGATATTACTGCCTTGTTTCCCTTACAGCCAAGTATATATTTAAGATACATATTATGATCCATTGGACATCTTTAAGAAATCTGAAGCTAAAAAGCATGCACTAATATTATGTGATGAAATTACACTGGTGATTTCCTTGGTGTTATTCAAATTCCCACCATCCCAGCTTGCACAGCTAAAAGTCAGGACTAACAGTGAAACTGGAGTCCAACAACATAATAGTTCCCTAGATTCCTGCTCTGTCTTAAACAAAGAGCAGTCATTTCTTAGCCTGGGACAAGCAAGCATCTACCAGCCTCAGTATATATGACATAGGCTGGGTTTTTTATGTAGTCATAAAGTTATGTTTTTGAATTAAAGAATAAAATCCCTTGATGTTCTGCAGGAGAAAGCTATAATGAACTCACAGGATCCCATCCCAAGCCATGAAATTGTCTCAGCACAAGAGGGGAAAACGATGAATGTGGATGGTAAAATTCTGGAGCCTAGAAAGGTGGGAAGCAGGACAGTGGCATCCATCCAGTAACCTCTCTCTTTGTTCTTCCTATAAAGCTATAATGAACTCCTAACAGAATTCCTTGTGCTGTAAATAGTTGCAGGACAAGGGGGAGAGGACGGGACAATGTTCCTCATCACTGCATTTCTATGTCAGGGAAAGCTGTATCTATTGAATATCTCTCTGTTATTCAGTTATTAAAGGGACAAGGGGAAAAGGACAGGTCCTCAGTGGGAGTGGGGAGGGAAATGCCTTCCCAGTGTGTCACCAGTAGCCCCTGGTTGCTCTAGCCTTGTTGGTGTTGTATAAGGGCCCTCTTTCACAACCACTGGGACTGTTCTCTTGGTGTTGTAATCTATGGCAGATGGGCTGAACAGAGCATTCAGTACTTCTCTCTCTCTCTTTTTTTTTAGTAGACTTACTTTTGTGCCTCTTCAATCAGCCCTATTACACAAAATTTTAGCAGGAACCACTTCCTGCCATACTTTCTTCCAAGCCAAGGCTAGAAAAATCTTATTTTACTACATTTCTGCATGTCAGATTCTTAGTAAAAGCACAGAGACGAAAGCAGTATAAAATGTGCCCATCTGAATTCTAAGACTGGGCATATCCAGACTGATTTAAAAGACCTGAAAGGCCCAGATATTGTTCCTGTTCTTTCTTATTCTCATTTTGGAGATCCATACATGTTTTGTACATCCCAGATTATTTTCTGTCAGTTCCTGGTACAATCAAAGACTTTTTGAACCAGCTCCTCAGATTGGTTTATTTTATCCCAATATAAAATCAGAAAGAGCAGGAACAAAATCTGCAATTTTTCAACCAGTTTGGGTACACTGAATATGTTTCTTGAATATGAGGCCTTTTTTCGTTGTTGGTTACATGAAATATTTGATAAAATATCATTTTAAAAACCCTAAATAAAGCACTACCCACTTCTCAGCCATGCTTTACTGCTGTACCTTTAAAACAAAAGTTTGAGTTGCAGCATTGAATGGAACACATAACCTCATGTTCTTCACCTAATAATTTATGTCCTTTCACACCAGTGTTGAAAGAACACATCTAAAGGACAGCTGTGGCATTTGCAGTTCTCTCCTACCTTTGTCAGCATATCCTAATTGGAATGCTGGTTGAGGCAAGGGATGTTTGGAGGAGAAAAGAAGGGAACACTTGCCTCCCTGCTTAAACCTTAAAGTTATTTGTTGATTGGAATGGCAGAGGCAGAGGTACATCCAGCTCACCAACAAGAGATTGAAGGCCTAAGCAGACTGCCAGAAATAGTGCACATTAAATTGAGGCACTGCCCTGGCTCAGTGCTAGGGAGTCATGGGAACTGTATTTTTTTCTGAGACATTGAGCTTTCTCTGTCAGAGAGCTCTGGTGCCACAATAAATTACAGTTCCCATGATTCCCTAGCACTGAGCCAGGGCAGTGCCTCAATTTAATGTGCACTATTTCTAGCAGACTGCTTAGGCCTTTAGTGGGCTGCCATGCTGCAAAATTAATGCAGTTTGACACCACTTTAACTGTCATGGCTTCAACCTATGGAATCCTGGGATTTATAGTTTGTTGTTGGACCAGAGCTCTCTGACAGAGAAAGCTAAATATCTCTAAAAACCTACAAATTCTAGAATTCCATAGCATTGAGCCATGGCAGTTAAAGTGGTGTCAAACTGCATTAATTCTGCAGTGTGGATGCAGCTTCCTACTTAGAGTCTGCAGCCATACCTGGACACTGCATTGTTCTGGAGGAAAACCTCTCTGGGCCAGTGGGCAGTACAGACAATTGATCCGATCAAACAATCCTATTTGTGTCAGTTTTTACAAGTTTTGTCTGCCCTAGAAATACAATGATAATATAAAACCACAATAATACCTTAGTTGTAGTATAAAATTCATCAATATTCCATCTACTTTGAGGGAAAGAGCTGTAGCTGAGAGATGGCAGGTTATTGCAGCTCTGCAAAGTAGTTTAGTGTGATTTTATATGGGCCTTAACTCTTCCAATATAATTTTATTGCATAGTTCAGCATTGTTACCGGTACTCAGTTTCCTGGTGTGTGGGCATTTTGTAAGGAAATGCAGGAGTAGAATTGTAAAGTTGATTGTTGCAGCAGTGTAATTTATGAAGGGATAGAAGACCATTACATGATGAAGGGAATGAGGATACCAGCTGCAGGTGGAGAGTTTTTCTGGAGACCAGGTCTACTCATTAGAAAATAATAAAGAAGTAAAGCTGATAATAGATTACTCAGAGAACAGGCCTATCTGTCTTGAGAGACTTGTTCTCTTATACTACCAGGGCTTTTTCATATGCAAAATGTGCAGTTCCAAAATAACATTTGTACAGTTCATGATGCATGTAGTGCAAAAGGGAGTACTGTTTTTCTGTTAACTAATTGGAAAATCAATTGATAACAATAAGAAAAGTGAAATGTACAGGTGTGATGTAGTGGTATACACATTGAAGTGAATTACTTATATATCATGATCATCTTTGCCCTAAACTGTGTTTTGAAATGGCCAACTGAATTTTTACTTCTATGCTAAAAATGTGGGGATTGAAAGAAAATTTAATGGAGGGATTCTTATTTGGGTGAGGCAGTGCCCTCAGTTTGCTCTTTCCTGTAGCTACGTTTTTCTTTCTCCTCTTTCTACTGCTGCTACTTATCTTCCTCCTTTTTCTTTCTTACTATTCATGCCTATAACCACAGCTTCATCTGCAAGTGTTAGCAGGGGGCACTTTTCACTCCATGTAATAAAAAAAGAAATCACCGTCTGATCCTTACCCCTCTCAGGTGGCTGCTAAAAGCACAGAAGGAAAACTTGTCATTTTTTTCCTGGTCATTGGGCAACTTTAGTCCTAAGGGCACTTGGCCCATCGCACCTCCATCTGCCCTACACTGTTGAATGTGGAAACTTG